GACCATTATGTGTTTTATTTATTTTTAATTAAAATTTTTATTTTTTTTAGAGATAGGGTCTTACTCTGTCCCTCTAGCTAGAGTGCAGTGGCATGATCATAGCTCACTGCAACCTCAAACTCCTAGGCTCAAGCTATGCTCCTGCCTCAGCCTCCCTAGTAGCTGGGATTACAGGTGTGCACCACCACACCCAGCTAATTTTTTTTAGATTTTTTTTTTTTTTGTAGAGGATGGGTCTTGCTATGTTGACCAGGCTGGTCTTGAACTCCCGGCCTCAAGTCACCCTCCTGCCTCGGCCTGCCAAAGTGTTAGGATTACAGGTGTGAGCCTTGGCACCTGGTCCATTGTGTGTTTTAAAGGTTATTCTTGGACTTAGGCAGGCTTGTTCCATATTATGCCAGTACCATTTGATTTTTATTCGTAAATGCTGTTTTCTATAATTTAGCAGCTATTTCTATTTATTTTCTGAGATGACTCTTAACTCTTGGTGTTATTTGCTAATTTGATGGATTTACTTTTATTTCCATTTTCTTGTTCACTGACAAAGATTATTAGATAAATTTTGATCTAGGATTTACCCTTTCAGTGTACTTCTTAAAATATTGTTCAAGATTGGCTTCGAAACTTTAGGTGTTACTTTCCTGCTGCATATACTTATCCCACATATTTGTGGTTTATTACTGAGAATGACATGGGTCTCTTCTGAAGCACAGACTGTGCCTGTTGCTTACCCTCATCCTATAGTCCTGTCAGTCCAGCATAGGAGAAGATCACTTCACAGAACTTTCTAGTCTGTCCTTTTGGTCTCCTTGGACTTGAGATTAGAGCCTCCTGGTTGTGGGATTGGCTTTAGTGCATTTCCTTGAGAGTTAAGTTTATTCATCTCCAATCATGAGTCAATTAGTCATCCTGTCCCTATTATTTTCTTTTTTTTTCTTATAAAGATTAGACACAAATATTTACCCTTCTTTTAGTTTTTCAGAAACTTCTATGGCCTCTGTATGTTCTTAGTCCTGATGATCTGGCTATAGCAGTAAGGTTATAGAATTATTATGTTATAGTATGTGTATAGAATTATGTTATCTTAAAGTAGAAAAGGAGAATAAAATCTTTTTATTTGTTATTCAGTTAAATATAAAATGGTTGATTTTTAAGGGAGATCTCCTTCAATCTTGGTTTTACAGGCTATTTTTTAAGTGGAATTTGTAGCATTTTATAGGCTATTTAATGAAACTGTTGCATGTTTATCTGCCAGGTTAGCATGCAGTTTAGTGGAGATAAGGCACTCACCTACTGGTTAAATGATTGAAGGCACTTTTACCTCATGTTAATCTGAAATTTGCTGCTCCTCCTCCCCTTTTCTTTGTATTAGGAATGGTGGCTCCTCCTTTAGTGCAAATAATTTATAGGATGTAGCTTTCTTGTTTCATTGTTATAGTTACTATTTGTTAGACAACATTCACAGTTTCAAGGAGGAAGTATGCATATGTTTGTTCCACTTTGGGTGGTGGAAATAGATATTTCTTTGTTATTTTTATGTATCTTGTGTAGATATTAAATATATAGATAATTTATATAAAAAATATTGAGGTCATATTGACATTAGAATTTACCTTTGTTTTATTTCCCCATTTCCCTTATTATAATTTGTATAATAATTTCACATTAGAGTAATATCTGATTATTATAAAAACCAAAATAGCGAAACATTAATAAAAAAGCCATCTTTAATCCTACTACCCATTGATAATCACTGTAATCTCTTTTTGTCTGTCAGTCTTTCTACATATGTTTGATTGACTCTGTTAGCCTTATTGTTAGTTTTCAGTATTTGATATCTTAAATATCACCCATTACTTTACTTTATCAAAGAACCAAAATGTCACGGCAGTAGTACTAGCCCACTTTTTATAAAGATATTTATATTTTTACAAGCATTATATTAGTACTTTAACAATGATTGTAAAAACTTCATCTCTAATGCAAATAACTTCTGAGCACTGAGCACTCCTGGCAGATGAAGACCCACCAATTGAGAGTTACTGGGTAGAACAGTCAGAATTCATGAGCAGGTTTGCAGGTCTGCATGTGGGCCTTAGATCTTGTTAAACTAGTTTGGATGGCTTCAAATATGCATTGGCATCTCTGCAGATCACTCTGTTGACTTGAATAGAGTTCCCAACTGTAATTTTATGTAATTCATTATGTAACAGAATTAAATCCAGGAATATTTTTCTACTTTATGTAATTTTAGTGCATATAATGCTTAAGAACATTTTTTTTCCAGTTGCCAAACATGTCAGTCTTCTATGACTTACTTTATTATCTCTACATCTGGGCACACCTGTCTTGTCAATTCTGCCTGCAATATAACTCTTTACCATAACTCTACCTCTTTGATCCTGAAGTTACTGCCTTATTTCAGGTTTTCTTTTCTTTTCTCTGTTGTATAGAAGCTTCCTGTCTATCATTTTGCTTTTTTCCTGTTACAATACTATAGTATTTTTTTCCCTTTTGTGAGGTTTATTACTTCCCTTTCCTCCCTTGTTGTTTTCAACAACTTATTTTGGAAAATTTGAAAACCATGCATATGCAGAAAATGAACTTTATTCTATAAAAATAACCACTGTGAGCATTATGGTGTCTTGGCTTACAGTTATTATGTGTGCATACAGATGACTTTTAAATTGAATCATTCTGGGCATTCTTCAGCCTTTTTATTTATTTATTTATTTTTATTTTTGTAGAGATGGGATCTTACTTTGTTGTCCAGGCTGTAGTGCAGTGGTGTGTGCATAGCTCCCTGCAACCTCCAATTCTTGGGTTCAAACAATCCTCCTGCCTTAGCCTCCCGAATAGCTGAGACTATAGGTGTGCACCACCATGCTCGTCTAATTTTAAATTTTTTGTAGAAATGGGGTTGCACTTTGTTGCTCAGGCTGGTCTCGAACTTCTGGGCTCAAACAGTCGTCCTGCCTCTGCCTCCCAAAGTACTGGAATTACAGGTGTAAGCTACCATGCCTGGCCTTTTTAACCTTTAAAAATTTTTTTTATATTCTGTGAACATTTTCCCATGTGTTTCTATGTATTTTTTGCTTTACAATATATATGTATTATGAGTTAGGCCTACTTGCTGAACATTTAGGTCTTCAGGTCCTTTTTTACCTTCCTTCCTTCCTCTTCCTGTCATCCTTCCTTCCCTCACAATATTGCAATACTCATTTAGCTAAATTGTTTGGACAGATCAGCAGTTATTCCTTAGGTTAATAGAGTAATAGTTCTGAAATATTGTCATCTGGGTTATATATATTTTGTCTCTCTGTTGTGACCACTCTGAACTTTTCATCCTAAAGGCTCTTTGTTAGTCTGGCCCTGCCTGCCTTTCTGACTTTATCTCCTATCCTTTTCTCACACCCTCCAGCTACCCCAAACCACCTGTGCTTTCTTAAGTGTGACTTACCCATGTCTATTTGCTTTTCTTATCTACTTAGTAAATACTTTCTCAGGCTTCCAGCCTAAACCTATGTGTGTTCTTGGTCTACCTAGGCAGTTAGGTGGTTCCTCTTTTGCATCTTTTTGTACTCTTCTGTTGGATTGCTAATAGAATACTCTTCTTTTGTGTACTTTTCTCTTGGATTGCTAATAGAAAATTTCTAAAATTTTTAAAATTTAGTCTCCTCCACTAGGCTAGGCTGTGGGTGCTTCAGTAGCAGGGTCATTCTTCTAGTAGTCTTTCTCTTTCCAGCATGTAACCCATGAGAGGTACTTAATAAAGGTTTGAATACATTTGAGATTTGGGGAAAAGCAGATCTCTAAAATGGCATAATCAAATTAAGTATACTTTTTAATTCACTCTGAGATACCATGGAGAAAAAGTTATTTGATTAAAATATATGAATGGAAAGTACAAATACAATAGTATATTTTTTATCAGTTAAAAATTTATTTATTTCAAAATATTACAGGGGTACAAACGTTGAGGTTACATATATTGCCTTTGCACCGTCCGAGTCATAGCTACAAACATGCCCATCCCAAGGCAGTACTTACCGCACCCTTTAGGTGTGAATTTACCCATTCCCTCCTCCCCCCTCCTTCCTGCCCTGCACTGATGAATACTACTTGCATATGTGCACTTCAGTGTTGATCAGTTACTACCAATTTGATAGTGAGTACATGTGGTGCTTGTTTTTCCACTCTTGTGATACTTCACTTAGAAGAATGGGCTCCGGCACCATCTAGGATAAGTAAATATCATGAGTGATTAAGAAAATATGTAATAGTAATTTATGCCTGTATTTAATGTTGAAACTATAGTTTTATTAACCTTTGGAATTTAAGTGAAATGAAAACTTTTGGCTGAAGTTTTTATCTGAGCACAAATACTTAACTATCAAATAAAATTTGAGTTGTGTAATAGCATCCTTAGGACTTTAGTTTTTATAACAACATCTGAATGACTGTAAGAAAGGTTGGACTAATTAAAGAATATTAGAGTCATAAATAGTAATCTTTGGAAAGGTAGAATGGTTGGAGTCATGAAAGGCTAACACCAGGTTTCAAGAGAAAATGTTAATTGATACCATAACTAAGTTATCCAGGATAATTGATCTGCTCGTACTGTCTTTATGTCCTCCTTTTGAGATTTTTGGCTTTATCATTCAAAATGGTGGTGGCTACTTTCTTTGGCTTTTAAAGTTCTTCAGTCCAAAAGGTCCAAATTTTTTCTCATTTTTTATTTAAATTTTAGCCATTTAAAATATTTTGTAATTTCTTTTATGTTGGGTTAACCTAAAGTATGCTACAACTAATAACTCTTGTCTATATATGGCAACTATTTTGTGCCAGTAACCTCATAAGTTCTTTAGTCTGCTTTGTTTGCCATTGTATTCTTAGCACTTAGCACAGTTTCTTAGTATTAATATTTGGTCCTGTGTTATGATAGGTTATGCTAATTGGTGTGTTAATGTTATATTTTTTCTCTTTTTCTTTTTCTAAAGGTAATGTGGCTTTAGATAATCTGCAGATAAAAGAAAATGCCCTGGTAAGTTTTTTAAACTACACTAATAAGTCAGTTAATTTGGTAAGTTTGCTTACCAGATAAAGTGATTGAGTCACTCAAAGAAGGATTACTTATTTAACTATTTCGCTGTTTGAAAATCTGAGATTAAAAACTTAGAAATTATTTTTCCCTAGTGATTAAAATCATATCTCTTGGAAACTGTAGTGTTTTCCCTTAACCTAATTTGACTAGGTAGCTTTGGAGTTGACTTTTTTTTTACAGGAATATTTTCCTTCAGAATTATCTTTACATGTTTTTCAGGTAAATAGGGATTGATTTTTAACAATTTATCTAGTGAATAATGGTATTGTTGGAAAGATATTGACAGTCTAGCCTTATAATAGTATAGTAAAATAGAATTTTTGGACTCTAGCTCCAGAAAGTAGTTTGTGTCATTTACTGTTGAACTAAAAACAAAACAACACTCTCCCCCTCACCCGTCAGGTTTATATTTTAGCCTGTTGGGCTAAATTTGAGTTTATGAAGTCACTTAAGAATGAGTTTATTGTTTAATTTTTCAGTTTTTTAATTTCTTAATATCATTAAGCATCAGTTTGATCATTTTAAAATAGAGTTACTTAGGAAACAATATATCTGTGTCTTTGTGGCTTGAATAAGATGATTAAGTAGAGCCTGCCATTATAGTAGGTGCTTAAAATATTTAAATTTTCTTTCCCTCTCTTTATATAGGATGCTATAACTTTTATAATTTTATACAGAAATTTAGAACTTATGATTCTGTTGCCAGGTATTGGAATGAATGTTTTTTCTTTATGACAATATTTTATAAGAAAATAAATAGAAATAGAGTTGTGGTGACAGGATATATATCTAATATACTTAGGAGGCAAATTATTTGAACTCTGTGTTAGCCTAATTAGAATTTTGGTTGTAATTAAATACAATGAAATTCTTTGTCGTTTAAATTCTCTTTTAATTCAAACTATCCACCAGCCTCCTTTCCCCAATTAAACCAGATTGTGATATGGACTCTTTACATTTATTTTGTATGAAAATTGTTTCAGGAGGATCAAAATGAACTTGACACTGCATTTTTAGAAGTGTGTAGTTTACAGTTTGTATCCTATACAATGTGAATTCCCTTGCATTTATCTTTTCTATCTGAGGACAGAGCTGCTTTCTTATTGGTGGTGAAGTTTTTTTTTTTTTTTTTGGTCTAAAAAAGATTTTTTGTGAAGAGCCAATAGTTTTTTGTTCAATTCCTATTTACCTAGAGTGCAGGAGTAATCAGATGATCAGGTAAATTGATTATTTTAGTTAATTGTTACCTAAAGTACTATCTTTCAGTGGTCAGATTTTGGTAGTATTAGTATTTATTACAGCTAATAGAAAAGCTGTACTGACTGGCTTTATTTTTAATAATTTTAAAGACTCAAGTGATCATTATGAATATTAGTTTTTGTTTAGTATTCTAAATAAAAAAGTTATCTGAACTTTCTAGTGGTTTGGAATCTAAGTAGGTGAAAGTTTATTATTATTAATTGATACTTGTCTATAACTTATCTAAAGGAAATGCTAATTTGGTAAATAAAATGTTGGAAATCTACGTTTTAAAATTTTTATTCATTTACTAAATATTTTATTTGAGAGAGAATTGTTTTTCAGTTATAGTTTTGAACTAATTTAGGCTAAAGGATTCTATTCCTTTTCTTCTTATATTTCAAATAAGCAGTACCTGCCTGTTTAAATTCATTTGATTTGAATTTCTATTCAATTTGATTTATTAAAATAAGTAACCAGTTTGCTCAATTATTTTCTTTAGCTACAAACTTTTTTTATTTTCCTATTTTATAATTTTGCTTATCTATGAATTCTTTCTTCAGAGACAAAGTTTAAGTTAATGAACCTCCAACCTGAGCAACATAGCAAGACCTTGTGTCTAAAAAAAAAATAGAAAAATTAGCTGGGCTTGGTGGCACTTGCTTGTAGTCCTAGCTGCTCAGAAGGCTGAGGTTGGATGATCACTTGAGCTCAGTGAGCAACAATATAATATTATATATAATAATATGGTTGCAATGAGCTGTGATGATGCACATGTCTTAGTCAAGACAGAGTGAGACCCTCTCTCAAAAAAAAAAAAAAAGTAACAAAAGTAATAGTAATAAAGTAATAAAAATTTTTTTTTTTGGCCATAAAATGTGTTCTTATGAGTTATTACTCAAATAGTAGAAAATTGGCTTTTTGTTTTTAGAGATGGTATATTAAATGATGATACAAAAGTGATTGGGGGGAGCTTAATTTAAGATGTCCTTTAAATTTTTCCTTCCTCTGAAGTGCGAATTGGATGTTCCTTTTAAAGTCAAGCTGGCCAAATTGGTAAGTACTTCAGTTTTCATTTGAATTATTTTAGTCTTGTTAGTTTTTATTTTCTTATGTTATTTAATCTAAAATATTTTTTAGTTTGACCAAAAGTGGAGATTTTTGAATCATATTAATTAGAGCTTATGAGAGTTCTGAGCCTAACATATAATTATATATAATACATACATAATCTCAATTTTTTTGAGGAAAGAGCAGAAAATTACTCTCTAAAATGGAAGGATATTTGAGCTGCAATTATGCTGCTTTAGCTTTGGTTCTACCACACAAAAATATCTTCATTTTCAAAATGGATATCCAAATTTTGTGCTTTTCTTTATGCGTGAAAGTAGTATAATTGCAAACTCTAGTAAATAAATTTTAATGTGGCTTATTTCCGTCATATTTTTGTTCAACTGTTTTCACTTGATATATTAATGCAGCAGTGTGTAGAGCGATATGTTTTGGGTAAGGAGAAAAAAAGTCTCTTTCTTTGCCGCTAAACCTTACACTGAGACTATGGTATAAGTAAGCATATATCTTTGTTGAAGAATTTGTTCAATAGGAAATTTAATTTACAAAGTCTTCCAACTAGACCATGTTACCATGATTTTTACTTTTTTAAAAAAAAATATAATTAAAATCCTACATGGCTTATTTTATTTTAGAATTTCCACTATGCCACATCTCGCCATCTCCATCACCCTGCTAACTTCAGCACG